ACATACATACATACATACATTCACACATACATACAGTCATTGACCAGACAATATCTGAAAATAGCATTGATTTATCGGCCTGTGAGAGGCAAACAAAAAAGATTGATGATGGACTGAAGATAAAATGATGAACGAATGAAAAATGGTCTCACGGATGGAGGAATGATAAATTAATGGATGAGTTAATAAACGACCTATTGAACATGACAACTTCTTATTTAAAAATATAATACAAGCATCAACAGCAATCTCAACAATGGGCGAATTAGCACTAAATCATCATTACAAACAGTTGACAAAGTAACAGTTGAATCATTATGGATGGGATGTGGTGTTCAGGTTTAACCACTCATTGCACCTCTCACTGAATTCCATGTTATCATCAATTCCATACCAAACTCTTTCCATGACGCTTTTTATTTTATGACATAGGATTTGTTTTGATGTAGGATGTGTTTGATGAATGATACGTATAATAGATGCAATATTTTGAGACCCGAGATGAATCAATCCATTCACACTTTCATTGATTTGTTCAACTGCACACTACATGTACAATCATCCAATTCATCTATTGCAATCTTCCTTCTTCTCGAACTTTCAACCGATATAACGTACGATGTGACACACGTAAGATACACAATTCCCATACACACACACACACACACACACACACACACACACACACACACACACACACACACACACACACACACACACACACACACACACACAAAAACACCACACGTTACACATACACACACGCGCGCGCGCGCACACACACACATGATCATAAACACACACACGACCATTGAAGCGGCATTTATTTGGAAACTCTCCCTCCTTTGACCTGCTGTGTTGGATGTTCAGTTCATCCATTCGTACGTTTAAGTATGAACACGTTTGTCCCCTTGATTCTGTGTGCATATAGGTGTATGTGTTTGTGTGGTCACAAGTTTTTGTGTGAACATTATTACGTATCGGAATGTGTGTGTGTGTGTGTGTGTGTGTAACTTGGCATTACTTCGTGACTATGTGTTTCTGTTTTATAAAATTATGCTGAGGTTCCATTGGCGGTACTCTAAACATTATTTTTGTTTGATATCTCTTGCTTGCACGTTTATAACGGATTTTTTAAAACATGCACGCGCACATAAGCACGTATGAAGAAGTAAACGAATGAGCGAGCAAATGAATGAACGCTTGTAATAAATGCCAGAGACAATCCATCCATCATTATCTTCTCTCATTCTTGGAAACGTTCGTCAAACTGCACGCTGTCTTGTTCCGATCGCATATAAACTCACACATCTACACACACACACGCACACACTCACACGCGCACACACTCACATACATACACACACAAACACACACATACATACGAAGTTGCCATCATTTGTATTGGATCAATAACGAGTTTCTTCTTACTCCTCATGCACACTCATACCAAAATGCACATTTTACGGTACACACACACCACAGTTACTCACCACACCACAGTTACTCACACACATCAACACACGTACGCAAACATTATTTAAAACTATATTTTAAAAAAAATTAAATCAGTAAAGAATGAAATTTCATGTCCGGAAAGTCAAAAAGACGAAAAATATTTTTTTTGTGAACCACCTCGAGAAGATTTCTGGCGGCTGATTCAATTGCAAAAGTGGAAATGGAAAATTCATCACGGCATTTTGAGATGATGCTGAGGAGCACACATCAAACAATAAAATTAGGATTTGTTTCCCAAAGATGATATTTTTCAGGTCGAAGCAAATTTTGAGAATCAGTTAGCCACTAGAATCTACGGAACGGTTGATTTCAACGTCTTTTCCGTCATTTGGCGTGCAATAAAAAAGTGAACGAGTGCTAAATTTAAATGCAAATCGTTTCTTAAAATCGCAAACCAATTTAAAAAAAATTAATTGAATTTTTTTAGTGAATTTTTTTTAGTTTGCCGTTTGAAAATATGCTTATAAAATTTGGTGACAGTTAATTTATTTATCTGCTGGAACCACTAAAAAAAATTTATAAGATATATACTATTAAGTTTGTTTTGAAAGGTTCCTATCATCACCAAACTTCGCCACGAGAGCTATAACACCAAAAGAAACAAAATATTCTCAACTAATTCAAATAAAATGACAGGAAATGTGTTAAAACTTCATAAATATTTAAACGACCAACCAACCGGCCAGCCAGCCAGTCATCTATCTATTTATAAGTCTGTCAATGGTCAGTGCACCTTTTTGTTGGACTTTCTTTCATTTCTATGGAAAAAAAAGTTGAATTTTTACGACAGGAAAAAATAAAAGTTTAAAAACGCTTAGGTTTATCTTGAAATAAATGCGTATACGCCGGCATGATTGAGCGTCAGATGTCGTGCCGCAGGATACGTTACTACGCGAACACACACACACACACACACACACACACCACACACACACACACACACACACTAGATCACACACACAAAAACTCATTGACTCACATATAGATATACACAGACACGCAAACATACATATAGACAGACGCAAGCACACACAGGCATACGTAGAAAAAATACTTGTCTAGACAAGTGAAGTAAGAAGTGCATGCACATTTGAAATCAAATCGATTAAGATTGCCTGTTTGTTAATCCGTGCATCCCTGATTGGAGAGAGAGATAAACATAAGAAAGGGCACGAAAAAGAAATAGCGAGATAGAGAGCGTGAGAGAGGAAGAGAGAGGAAGAGAAAGTGAAAAAGAGAATATAAAAAATAAAAATGAGAGAAGAATATGCAGTATATGTACAGAAAAGCATCAACGAGAGTATTGCTACTCTTGTAAATACTTGCCGTCAAGTTTCACCGTTAAAATACTACTGATACAACAACGAATGACACTTTCAGTCTATCCTTCTTCTATTCTTCATCGTCATCATCATCGTCGTCATCATTCTTCTCTTCATCTTCCTGCTCTCTCCATCATCGTCATCATCTTTTGGCATCTTCATGTTTCCAGAGACTGAACTTTTCCATGTATACGATCGGAACGAATGCACCGCTACCACCGACGCTTCTCCACTATTACGTGATACTTCAATAACAATTCATCACACACTTACATACATTCTTTACAAAAAGTACAATAGAAATGTTACTTTAACTTGTTTTATGATTTTTGCTATTGTCACAAATCTGGACCGTGCAATTCGTACATGCATTTAACACAATGGTACTCACTTGTACATGAATGATCGTTAACTGCATGATACTTGCCCATGTACACAACATTCAAGATACCTATCCTCATAGTACCTGGCACTTATTACGATACTTAACATACAAACATACTTATGTAACGGTACTTAATTGTGTAATGGTTACTCGCCATTCACAAAAGGATGGCTAACATTTTATTTCCTTAAATTCACAAATTAATTCATCCCTATAGATGAATGAATAAATAGAGTGATGGATGGATGGACAAATGGATGAGCAGGAGGATGGATGAATGCGTGGATGAATGGATAGATTGCAAACGTTCACCTCCGAATATGAATGAAGCTGGTCCGTTTAAAGATTTGAAAAGAAACAGTGCACACCGAGAAATTGTGCTCGCTTGTTTTTAGTTGCTTTTGACGTTTTGATGCTATCTCTACTTACGTGAATGTCATCAACATCACCTCCATCACCACCATAGTCATCCACATCATTTATTTGTCCTACCATCTTCACCATCCTCATCACTACCTTCTCCAACGCCACTAAAATCGTCGTCGTCAACTTCACCATCACCACCGATTGTCGTCTGTATGTAGCTGGAGCGGCTCTTACGACGACATGCCCTGCATCATCTACGTACATGTCACAGGCCGGGTGGATTATGCAATCAGAAGCGTCAAACGTCACATGTATTTAATTCAATCTATCGGTCGATCGATCAATCCATCAATCAGTGGTGACCAACCGACCGACCAAGCGATCGATATGAATCGACAAATAAAATAATTTTGCGATCTACGTAATTGAAAATAAATGCTTTGAAGAGCACGAACAACTGATTTCTTTGGTTAATTAATGTATGAATTAAAAGAAATGCCCCAAAGAATTATTAAATTTTCAGCCAAGTAACTAATGGCAATCAATTAAATAACCTATTTGTATTAATCGAACTAATTATATTAACCTCACAAATTTTGCCAATCAATCAATCAATCAATCAATCAATCAATCAATCAATCAATCAATCAATCAATCAATCAATCAACCAATCAATCAATCGACACACCTAATAAACTAGCCAGTGGACGAACAAATGAACATCACTTTACGCCTTTCGAAAATTATAACTTCTATTCTAGTTCTCCCTGGTCCTCCTTCTCTACCTTTTGTTTTTCTCTTCATTTTTTTCGATATCATGAGTTTCATGTAGCTACCAGTTCAATTTCAGACATTTTATCTTGGCACCCAGCAGCGTAATTAATTCTTCTTGACTAATTGTTGCAAATATTCGCAGCCTTGTATTGAAGTTAGAATTGAACGAGCATTCGATATTCTAAGCTTGATGTGGAGTCACGTACAAATTCTTTGAAAATTTTTTATTACGAATCGATCCAGATCGAATTAAGTTTGAGCTGCCATCAACTGCCAGCTCTGTAGCAAGTACAAATCCTCTCGCCACTAACTTCGACTTTTGTCTATTATGTTTCTATTCTAGCTATCAAAGCTTTTCGCTACAAACTCGTTAATATGAGTGTCACTGGACAACGAAGTGGCATTCTTGTCATGATGCAGCAGCCGAACATGCACCAGCACATTCAAACTCTTACATCAGCCTGTCTGCACATTGTTAATCATGATTGCAACTGGCCCGTTTAATAAGGAATCAAACAAGCAAGTGAACCAAACAATGAGCAAGCCAACCAACCAACCAATCAAGTAACCAACTAACCAACCAACCAGCCAGCAATCCAATCAACCAGCGAAACAACCATTAAACCAACTACTAACTAATCAATCAATAATCCATTATCAAACAAACTATATATAGAAAAAATAAAATTATAAAAAAATACATTAACAAGCAACAACATAACTGTTTTCTTGCAAAATTAAAATGAAACTGTCATTATATATATATATATATATATATATATATATATATATATATATTACAATATTCTATAATTTATAGAATATTTTAAAAATTATGGTCTTTTACCAATATATATATATATATATATATATATATATATATATATAATATATATATATACATAATATATATTTATATATGTGTGTGTGCGCGCACATAAATAGCACTAAGAAATTGAACAAAAGCAAAAGCCTCATACACAGTAATCCAAACATCAGGAGTATACAAAAATAAAAATAAACCATATAACAATAAAAAAAATAATAATAATTGAGTCAATAATAATAATAATAATAATAATAACAGCGTCAGTAGGAATAATAAACGCAATATACAGAATGTTGATAATCAGTTCTGAAGTCTCGACTGCTGCTGCTGGTTGATTGTGTGGCTGCCATTCCGCTGCTGAGTGGTCATCTAAGGATTTGTTGTAGTTATCAGTATCAGTTTGGTTAATATCATAAATATCAATAATAATAATAACAATAATAATAATAGTAAAAAAACATTAATGCTATTGTTCGCATCATTATCAGTGCCTTATATACATGCAGTAGTGATATTACTAACCAAAATGACCACAACAAAAATAACAGCACAAAGAAACAGCGAGATGGTGTAATGGTTAAGGTGCCTGGCTGGCCCTGATGCTGCAGTGAGTAGGTTCGAATACATCCATACTACTACAACAAAATGTGTGCGTGCTACATGGTTTGATTACTTAAGCGTATTCATGTAAGCTGTGTATGTGTGCATATGTGCATGTGTGTATGTGTGCATCTGTCATTGTCTTTGGCAGCTCTGAAGCCCAAAATAGACTGGCACCTAACTTTTAATCTCTACATCCACAATAACAACATTGTAAACAACAGCCACAAACACACAAAAAAAAGTAAACAACGATAAACAACGACATCAACACCATCACAACAACAATAATAATATACAAAACCAACTGATTGATTACTGTAAGAAGAATTCGATTGTTGCTGCTGTTGCAGTTGCTGAAGATGTTGAAGTTGTAGTTGTTGTTGCTGCTGCTGAAGCTGCTGCTGTTGTTGAGCGGTCATGAGGTAACCAGTGTTCATTGGATTCCTCGACGAGGAAATTTGAACGAGTGGAGGTCCAGACGATCCTGTGGCCCCCTGCTTGTTGTTGTGTTGTTGTTGCTGAGTATTTCTAGTTCTAATTCAATTCGGTGTATTTCTAGATTGAAAGCTGTTTATTGAGAGGAGACTCTGATACTATCAAATGCATTGTGCGTATGATATAGTGTGTGTGTGTGTATGTGTGTGTGTCTGTGTGTGGATGCACAGACCTTATTACGCAAAAATTCAATAGGAACTAAGCAAGGAGTTCTATGGTGGCTGTCTGAGCTACTGAATGAATGAAGCAGAAATAAAAATGTTGTAGGAGGCAACATCAACTGTGGTGCTGGATAGATGCATACGCGCGTGGAGTTTATTGTAAGGAATGATATAACAATATTGAAATCGAAGTAATATAATAATAATAATAAGTGATTGATAGACTGATTGATTTAATAATTAATTGGTTGGTCGGTAGGTCGGTTTGGTCGGTCGGTCTGTTGGTCGGTCGGTTGGTTGGTTGGCAGAACCTGAGGTAACTTGATGGACTTGCTGTCAACGTTGTACGTGCCTGACTTGCCTGCAGAAGCTAACGAAGATGAGGATGAAGACTTCTCCATCTGAGGCAGCAACTGGTGGGGGGTGTCTGCTTGGAGGGGCACGATTAATTAATAAATTAATTGTTATTGGTGGGGGGTGTCTGCTTGGAGGGGCACGATTAATTAATTAATAAATTAATTGTTATTGGTGGGGGGTGTCTGTTTGGAGGGGCACGATTAATTAATTAATAAATTAATTGTTATTATTACAATTCATTATTGATTCTCACCAAATTAAAATAAAATTAAAATAAAGTTGAAAATAAAATAAATCAAGCCAACACAAACTTGCAATTGAACTAGATGGCTGTTGGTGCTGCCTCCTCTGCTGCGAATCGCCACCGCCGCTACCACCACCACTACTACCACCACTACTACCACCACTTCCTCCTTGCCTCTGATAAGCATTCTGTGGGTACTGACTGGCGGGTTCCTGGGAGAGAGGCTTGCTGTTGGACTGGCGTGAAAAGTGGTTGGAGGATGGGAAATATCCAGAGGCTGGAGAGGATGACGATGAAGACTGGTGGTATTTTTGGTTGGAAGGTATTTGGTATGGAGAAGGTGCCTGCTGACGTTGCTGTTGCTGAATTTGTTGCTGCTGCTGCTGTATGTAACTATGTTGCTGCTGGGATGGCGACTGGCTGATGAGATTCGGTGGTGGGGGTTGGTGGTTCTGGGGCAGGAGGACCGTGGTGTAGGAACTGCCCTGTTCTGATGTGTTGACGTTTTAATGCGACGGTTTCAAATTCAGTAAGGTGAATGAAGCTTATAAGGGGACAACGAGACATCATTTAGACGTCACGGCCAGTTAGAATGACGTCATCCAGGATGTAACAAATAATGTTGTAATTAAAAATATTCAAACGAGAGATGAACACACTTCAAAATAAGGACATGACTGAGTTCGAGTGAGGTACATTCACATAATTAAATTAAAAATTACACGAAAGTGAGATGAAGAAATCAGAAAGAAGGACATATTTACTTATCGCTGGACCATCCCCCTTGCCAGTGTAACCCTGGCCGAGACCAATAACCCCAACCGAACCGCCTCCGCTTCCGGAATTGGGGTAAGATGATCCACTTCCTGCAAAATGAGGGTAGTGGGAAGGCGTGGTGGAAGGTGAGGGGGAACGAGGTCTCTTCAATGATGTCTGGTGAAAATTTAGTAGAAATAAAAATCAATATATATGCATGCATATGCTTCATAAATGATCCCCCAACTGGATATATCCCTTAATTCAAAAATATCAATTTGACTTTTAAACCTTCACGAATGAATCGTAGCACAATTTTAAAGCATCTGGTTGAAAGTTGTCTCCATCAATCCTGCTAGATCCATTTCCTTTTTCCACATGAAAAAATTAATAAACTTTTAACCGCAGCTATCTTCAGGTTTTTGACCGCCAAACAAATTAGTGGCGCCAACCCAGTCACCACCACTGCAGTCACTCCATTAAACATCAGGACCGACCGACACTGCCTAGTTCCTTCCGGTTTCCCTTTCAGTTCTTTCCAAGTTTCTGTTAACGGGACAAAATCCTTAAAATATTCCTCAAGTCACACCTTGTCATTTCTCCACTCATCTTCTCATCCATCACAGCACGGAACCATAGAGAGCTTAACACCAAACGGACGTTAAATTGATCACCTAATTTATTTCCATTGTTCCAAAACGTTTAATAAATGGACAAACAAATCACATAGACAGCAAATATAATAACTAGACGACCGTGACACTTCTGTCAAAACAAGTCGTCGGTAAAAGATACATTGGGAGGTATCTTTATAAATTCATTACTTTATACCATTGTGAATCATTACAGCAAAGAACTTGTCATCCCCATCAACATACACAACATCACCACCGATGCAACAGGCAGACAGACACCTGCGTAGGAGGAGCATGTTGAGATGATATGCTGAGGTACTTCTGCCTCTGCTGTTGCTGCTGCTGCTGCATGAAGAACTGAGCGTTCACACCCAGACCTGTCAACATTTGCTGCTGCAAGTTTGCCTGCTCGCTGTTCGTTTGTATATTTGTGTGTTTGTACGTTTGTGTGTTTGTGTGTTTGTTGGTGAACGTGTTAAAATTGAAAATGTTAACAAAAACTAGTGTGTAAGAAATACAAAGGTGAATATGTGATCATACCCACGACAAAAACTTACATGAGAACCATGCAATTAAAATGTTAAGGTCATAGAAATCAGTAACGTACAGAAAAACGAATCAAAGTAAAGAAAAAATTTAGTAAAGAATTATTTCCTTCACCCATACCCAAATACGAATGCTCGCACACACATGGAGACAAAATTTAAAATTTAAAAACTTTAAAGATTTCAACTCTTAACCTAGATATTTAACACGCAACAATTTAAATTGTAAATTAATCAACGCTGAAAAACTCCGAAAAATCTGTGAATTTCATAAAAAAAACTGTTTGTATTATTACATATATAATATCTATATACACATACGTGTGTGTGTGGGTGTGCGTGTGTGTGCATGTGTGTACATAAAAAAAATGTTGTTCCAATAATGAGGCAAAAGCACAAAAACAACAACATCACATGTTTAGACGACATTTTCCCCTAGATCTGGTGTTGCCATTTGGCTACCTATGATGAAACCGAAATACCCCTCGACGCCATTACGAAAGAGAAACCACCATTTAATAATTTGCAGTTAATAATATAATAAAAGGTTATAATTATTATTACAATTACTATCATTATTATCATTATCATCATCGTCGCCATCATCATCATCATAATCGTTATAATTCTTCCTCAGATATAATAACTTTTGTTGCTCCTTCAGTTGGTTCCTCTGCCTCAGATCATTCTCCTGGTGTAAGACCTTCTTCAGCTGCGAGAACAACTCGTGCTTCTCCTGCTTCAAACTGGCCAGCTTGGCTTCCAACTGTAAGATCTGCACGTGTCGCATGCCAGTTAGTTATAAAGTACTCGACAATGCATGATGATGAATGAGGAATTATCTTAATATGTAAAAATTAGAATTGACAATGTGCAAGTTATTTCACTGAAGGAGATCTAGCTGGAAACGTGTAAGAAAAATTAAACAATGTTCTAAGTAGTTGAACATACGAAAACATTTATTGTGTGCTGTAGCAAGGGACAAAAAGTTTTATATACAACACAGATATTCACTACTCTGCTGCTGGTATTAATATGTGGCATTTGTAATCTGGTTTGTTTGGGGCTCCTTATCTTACTTTGGGGGGAAGTAAATAAAATAAATTTGAATCCAACAATGTAACTTAATTAATAATGATTGTGGTTGAAAAATTAGTAAATTTATTATCAAACCGAATATTTCATTAACATTAATGAACAAATACAGAAACAATTTATTTTCATAATTTGAATGTGTACCCACTTGTTCTTTTGTCTGTTCGAGGGTGAGATTATCTTCCTCCTCTTTCTTCTTTTTCATCTCCCTCTCCTTCTTCAATCTCTCTTGCTCCTTATCCTGCTCTTGTTCTGCCAGTGGAAAACACAACATTGCGTGGAAATAAAATCACACACACACACACAAACAAACAACTTTAACTATTATTTCCAGGTATCACACAAATTAATATGCAAACAGCAGTCTAACAATGAATTAGGAACAATTTCATGTTAATTATTTCAACAACTAATGGATACTATACCAAAGAGAATTCATTTTCGGTAGAGTAAATTAATTAACTCTTAATTAGTTAATTAAAATTCTAATCATAAAATTTAAGTGTCAGGGTTAGGCTAGGAAATGTTTGTTGGACGAACGTTTACTGACTTTTCAGACCAGTGAAACAGTAGCTACAACAGCTTTATAAAATTTACCGTTTACAATTTACATAAGCAACCCACCTTGCTTCTTCTTTTCCCTATCTTTTAATATATATTTTTTTAGGGCTTCATATGTCGATTTTGTCATTTTAGGCCTAACGATCTGCATTTTCTGTGAAAAAATTACAAAAGTTAAGAATTAAATTAAGTAAGTCGGCGTTAGTCACATTCTTATTTTTTTAAAAATTCAAAAAATATAATGATAATCAATCAGCCAAACATTATTTATAACTAGCAATCATAATTTCTGCTTTTTATGATAAAAGCAAACATGGAAGTTATATTTACTCTATAACTATAACATGCCATCATAGTCCAAGCAAAATTAAGTCACCCATAATTAGGGAGGCACCGAAGTTCGGCCCCGGCCAAAATCCAGTTTTTTTTTCAAATCCGGTCGAATCCGGCCCCGGCCGGATTTGGTGGCCGGATTTAAGCGTCTATTGACTTTTAAAAATGTTGTAAATAGAAAAAAAAATTTATAATAACAACATCACTAATTGTGAGGTGATCTGGACAATTTTCTTTATGCTATAACATGGGTTATGCATAAATTATAAGCTGATCTTTCTGTAAAAGAACTTGTGCACGTGTATATACTATATATTGATAATTGCACATGACGGATCATATAGCTACATAATATATATATATATATATCTTTATATAAAGATATATATATATATATTTAGAGAGAGAGATACATAAGCACATAATTTAAGAACATGGTATGTTAAAGGTTAGGCTAGGTATACATGACACATAATTACAACTTCACTAATTGTGCGGTGAGCTGGACAATTTTCTTAGTGCTTTAACATGGGTTATGCAAATATGCATAAATTATAAGCTGATCTTTGTGTACAGAATTTGGCGTATCACACAACTTATTCATATATTTGAATTAAGTAACTATTTGCTTGGTGTTATTTTTTGATTTTCAACATGTAAATAACTGTAAATGTAAAATGGTAACTAAAATCTTGCCCCGGCTCCGGCCGGTTTTTGAATTTTAAATCCAGCCGAGTCCGGCCCCGGCCGGATTTGAAAAACCTGAATCCGGTGCATCCCTACCCATAATAAAGGCATAGACCTAAAAGACCCATATTAAACTTCTAAATGTTTTTTGCCTTGTGCCAACTATCTATCAATCAATTTGTGCCAACTGCTTAAATTAAATTATTAAATCAAACTCAGCAATAGGCGGTAATAATAAAGGAGCCAACCATCAAATAAGTTTGACGTTTAGATTTTTACTTTTAATTTGTATTTTATAATAAATGATAATACAATATAATATTCTGTACGTTTTATAATTTAACTTCCAGTAGACTAACTCAATTCAATAAAACAAAAAATTAGTGAGTAAATAATAAAGGCCAACATTTTAATAATGTGACCAATCATACAAATTTGAAAAACTTCAAAGGAGCCCACCCAGATTTTTGAATAGCGAATGAAACATAAAACGTAAGACAAGTACGTCACGAAGTTCAAGATACAAATATGCGAAAACCGGTCTTCATTAAGTGGTCTTTATAGTATGGGTAGAGAGTGCAATTTTACAAAAAAAAATTCATGACAATTTAGAACAAAAATTATTACGGGAAAAAAATTATGTTAATGAAATAAAAACAATTTATTGCAAAAAAATGTTTTGGTCAATAAAATTAAAAACAATTTTACGCACGTTTAAAACTATCAACAAATGAAAACCTTAAAAGAGAAATTAAAATTAGTGGATAAAGAAATTTCAGACGTAAAAAATGCTACGAAAATTATTCAAATGTATACTGTTCTACCAAATCAAAACTGATCCTGCAATCTAGTATTAATGCCCATTCTATCGCAACTCGCTGAAGGAAACGAAACCGATTTGACGACTTTTATCAAAAGAAAAACTCCAAAGTTGTTTGTGGCACAGGCAAAATTGAAGAAAATGCAATAAATAATCTGCTCAAACCATGGATATATATAATATACATAATATTCATGGCTCAAACTGACTAAAGGAATTTGAAATTGCAGAGAGTGATCTAAAAATAGAAATAACAATTTCGACAATCAGAATAGAATCCATGCCTGATACTAAAAACTCATCGTTCCAGCGTTTATTATATCTGTAATATGATTCTTTAAAACCGAATCGCCCATATATATTATTTGATATATTTGGTACTGATTCTCATAGTCATTGTTACATCATACCCCCTACATGTATCGAAAAACGCACATTTATAATGAAATATCAACGCTAATTAAGTTAGCAACAATTGTTCAAAATTATAACTTATATATTGTATTAAAATATTGTAAACATCGTTTGACGAAGATATTTACATTTTCACGTTTTTAAACAATTAGAAAATGATTTGAAGTGAAAAAACAGAACATTGATATCTCAAACAGCTGGTTGATGACGCAGTTGCCATGGTGTCACCGAGAGTTATGATGCCAACATGTTGTATGTACTGTACACATACACATCAACAGTGTATAATACAATATTATATATATATATATATATATATATATATATATATTTGTGTATGTATGTGTGTGTGCATTTATGTTTAAAGATTGGAGGTTGTACTGTAAAATAGTTTGTTTCTAGCAATTTAAGGGAGAGATTTTAAAAATTACAAGTAAATAGAAAAAATATTTGAAAGACAAGAACTTTGTAAGTTGGATGAGAGAACATGAGTGAAACGAAAGTCATCCAAGCAAGTGTTGGTTCAATGAAATGGAAAAATGACTCCACTCAGAATATCAACGAAGCCAGAAAACTTACTAAAAAAATCTCAAATTCCTGTGATGGGCGCGTTAATGAAAATATTAAACCAGGAACAAGACAAAATACGATAACTTACACAAATGAAAAAGTAAACCAGAAGTTTCGGACCCTGAGACAAGTTCAAAAACTAAAATAATTTCAATTAGCAAAAAATTTGAAAACAAATTTTTAATTTAATAAAACTTGATTTCAATTTTCATTAAAAACTTTAAAATTTAAAGATATCAAACTCAGCGCGGGAGTACTTGATAGACATCAACCAACAAATCAGATCGGGCAACAGAACCATCGAGTTGCTTGATAAAAGAGTGGCCAACATCGAGAGGGACGAAGCCAAAAATCAGATGAGCGTGAAAATTAGAAAAAATAGACCAGCTGCAGAAAAGGTTAGAAAGTGAAAAATGTTTGCATTAGTGTTATAATCGATTGTTTAACTTAGATTGAATAACATTTTAAAAAAACCAAAGGTTTAAACTTTTAAATGGTTTACATAAGAGTTTAAACTGTTGATTAGCCTATGAAGAAATATTCTTTTATACGAGTGCAAATAACGAGGGACACGATCATAAATGTACGAATCGATTGTTGTATAACCCTGTCGGAGTAGCATAATTGTTGTCATGTGTTGACATGGAATAATTTTTTATTGTAAATTTCAATAATTTGTTATTTTTGTGAAATGTAAAAATTTTGGTTTATAAAAAAGTATCATAAAAAATGTTGTTTATTAGATTATCATATGAAACATCAAAAGAGTAGAAAAGTCACAATTTAAAATAGATAAGACGATTTTTTAATCCAACCGAAGAGGTTGTAGATAAATTAGAGCAACCATTGCAGCACCTTCGGTTGCAAGTCTTAGACATGTGCACTGCACTGCATGCACATTTAGGTACTTGAATTCGTGCAAATATGCGAGAAAAAAATTTTTCACAAAATATCATTAAATATCTTTTAATAACTATAATTTTATAGATGTATTAAAATGTCAGTGAAATAAAAATAAAATAAACAATTTAAAGGAAGTCGACAACGCGGATCTACTGCTAAAGAACGAAGCTAACACATTGAAGGAGCAAAAACAATTACTAAACAGAAAGAAGCAAATCATTAAAAACATCAACTCGAAACTGGCAGGCAGTAAGGAACTGCTGACCAAACTAACAAAAAACCTCACCCCTTTCCTTTCATTGACACCTGACAACACTCTCCCGCCAAAATACGGAGCAGACGATTCTATTGAAGATAATGAAGGTGATCCTTACATGCAGAAAGATTTTGAAAAGATAATAGATGAGGCCACAAATTATATAGCGGAATCTAAAATATTGAAATCCGACGCTGACCAATGTATGAAATCATGTGACGAACAGCTGGATGAGACGAAAAAACAAGTGAACCAAGCTCTGAGAACAAAAGTTGTTGAAACAAAAAGTTTGCAGGTTGTTATAAGAAATTTTTTCTTATCAATATTTAAATATTTTATACGTTTCCTGGCAGTAATAGGGGCTGCCCATAAAGGATGTCACGCTTTCTTTGCGTTTTTTGACTCCCCCGTGTCAGAAATTTTCAAACCCACCATTTAGAGCATGTCACATTTTTTGATCATCCTTCTTGAGAGTTACCATTTTATGCGGCACGACTAAAGATTGAAAATCCAAATCAACTACATCAGCGTTGAATATAAATATACAAGTACATAAAACAAGCAAATTTTTGATAACATATTTAATTGTATAACCTTAATTTGGTAAGAATGTTACAATTTTTTAACTCATAATAGAAATTGAAAAAATGAAAAATTGAAAAAAGTAAAACGGGATGTCACATAAAATTAAACCTTCCTTCCCCTTGTCACAAAATTATTGATGTAGGTTGAAATTCCACTAATTATTATGCTCCGGATGTTGTGATTTCATTATTTAAAATACAGTTCTTTCAAATCAAGTTAACGTTTCACACAAATTTGCGAAATAATTTGTAGAAAGAATTGAAGTCAGCCATAGACGAGGTGCAGCAGCTGTCCAACAAGAACGTGAAAGCTTTCAAAAGGACAGAACATTCCTGGCTAGACATGAAGGTGTGTGCGCCGAAACGACAATTTAATTTTAAAATAAAAAATCTGGAGAACATTTGTTTCTTACAATAATAAATATATATATATATAAACGACTGGATAATTATTTATAATTATGGTCAATGGTTAGAGGTCTATTACACTCTTCCTAGGTTCAGAAGAATCAAAAACACCCAAATATCGTACCTACATGAATACATGCCAAACGTCGCTTCACACACGAAGCATGTGATAGGCGGGAATTTTTTTTTTTCATTTTCGAACCCGGCCACTGCATGCTCTGCAAAACAACACCCGGGATCTTAACTACTAAGCCATCACGTCGCCAAAAACCCTGTAAAATTGTGAATTCTCCAACAGGGTCCTGAAAGTAGAAATAATGCGAGCGTCAACGAGAAACCTGACAGGCCTCTACTTAAAGCTTTCCAGCAGCCACTCGACAACCATCCGGAAATTTTCGGCCAAAAAATCGTTAGTGGAATGAAATATAAAAAAAATAAGATTTCGTTCGCAAGAAAGTCGGCAAATGTTCAGGATCTGAATTAAACAAAAGTTTCCCACGTCCCGTTTTTCCCTAAGAGTTCCAATTGCCGATGGATGTTGTTTTTATGTTCAGCCTTTTATAGGTTCAACTATTTTAACTCTTCCAAGCAAAACATAACAAATGTAGATTAAAAATGAATAGGTGTGCCTTTAAAAGTGAAAAAAAAGCTGATGAATAAATTTTGAAACAAACACACCCAGGGATCGGACAAACTGATGTACTCAATGAAGGAAACAGTGGTCAACATGGAGCAACTGAGAGTGGTCCAAGAAACTCTTCAGAGGGATGTTCAGGGTAAAAAGCAAGGAGCCATCATCGACAGCCAGATCAAAATTATCAGGAATCAAAAAGTGTAATCCAACATGTTTTATTTAATAATGAATCGTAAGAAATAGAGATTATTTTAATTAATTAATTAATGAAATTGTAAAAGAATTATCTTTTTCCTGAAATTTTTCAACATACCTAAGAAGTTGCGTTTACATTTTTGTTTTGGTGAACAAACTACATTACATAATCATGACGCTTTTTTACACGACACGCACAGATAAAACATCCTAAATTCGGAATTGACGAATTCTATGCAATTAAATAATTTATTTTTCATAATATGCCCCTTCTTGCTTTTTAATAATAAAACAGTGTACAATCAATAAAACTTGGTTCAGCATGTTGCGATAACAATAAATAGAGAAGATTCAATAGCAATAATATATATATATATATATATATATATATATATATATATATATATATATATATATATATATATATATATATATATATATATATATATGTGAGTGTGTGTGTGTGAATGTGTGTGTGTGTGTGAATGTGTGTGTATAACATAAATTGGAACACAAAAAGTAATTCACCTCCCCATAGCAATCATAAGATCAAATAAGGAATCATTTTGGAGGTAAAGAGATGCAGACGATATAATGGTAATTAATTAATATGCGTCAAAATAATTGCACGACACATAATTGAATGAATTGAATGTATGAACGTATGAATGAATGGATTGATTAACGATTGACTGAGTGTGTGATTAATCGGCTGATGGATTAGTTTAATGATTGAATAAAAAATAAATAAATCATTGATTGATTGTTAATTCGTTGGTTAAACAATCTTTAAAGAGATATTTCGCTCATGAGATTACAAATTAGATGAGTTAAGTTTAAAAGGTTCAAATCAGGTTAACAGTCTATTACATCCTCCTTAAGTTCGGAGGAATCAACAGCATGCATACACAGCGTACATGAATACACGTACGCTGTTTGTGCGTGCATCAATCACACACGAAGCATGTGACTGGCGGGGATCTTTTCGTCGTATTCGAATCCGATCACTGCAGGCACTGCGAAACAGCAGCAGGCGACCTTAACCACTAGGCCATCACGTCGCCCAAGTTACCAAAAAATAAATAAAAACTATGGAATGATTGAATAAATTTTGAAATGAATAAAACAACGAGAGAATGGATAAATGGTTGCAAGAGTAGATAAACGAATGGGTAAGTAGTGTGAGGAACAGAATATTTGAATGGAAGAACGAATGAATGTATAAATGAATGAATGCATGAAAGAACAAATGAAGCATTCTCTTATGAGCCAATAAATGATGATCAAATGAATAAAATTTGGAATGATAGATATAAAGACGAAAGAATGTGGAAAATGAATGAACGAACTTAGAAAAAAATCGATATAATATAAAATTTTTTTAAAAATACGTTGCACACTTGGTTAATATGATAATCAGTGAAAAACATAAATGAAAGGACGTTATAATTTAAAAATGAGATTAGATATAGATCGAACGTAGAAGCAAGCAGAGATTCCAACAAACCATCACAAAAAAGCAATTATGAGCTTATGATTATCGTTAATATAATTCCATATATATTATTTAAATATATTTGAAATCTTTCTCTCTCCCTCTATTTCTCTCTCTATATATATAATAGATTAAGGCTGTCAGAAATGCAATTATCGATTTTTCTAACAGTTGATCGTAAATCATTGTCAAGTTTCTTGAGTTAAAAACCAAAATTTTTATATTGAGCTCATGTGACACATACACAACGTATCAATTCGAACACCGAAGATGGTGTAGGAATACCGAAAAAAGCCGTTTTTGTTCTATCATGCTTAAAATAAACAAAAATTTTGGTTTTGAACTCAAGAAACTTGAGAATGACTTACGAACTGTTGTTAAAAAATTCGAAAAATTAAACAGGAAGCTAACTAACGCGGAACATGCTTTGATTTTCATCAATTATATATATATATATATATATATATATATATAT